CTCTAAAAATTACAACTACAACATTTGAACATAGCCCCCATACCTTAAGGTAAGACGTATTCTACGTCAAAAATGCTAAAGAATACGCACATACATACATGTACGGAAATTACCTAAACAACTTCTCGGTCCAGCGCCGAATGGAAGAAAAACTCCTCGCTCCATCAACTCCTTCGGCGCAACATTTTCGAAACGTTCTGGTATAAATGAATTTGGCTCACAGAAGATAAAGGGATCGTGATGGTATGAATATACCGGTACACAGAGCACCATGCCATCATCGACTTGCACGGACTTGCGCTTCGAGAGCTGCACCACATTAGCAGTGGTGCAAATGCGCCGACAATAAGGTACTGTGGGACTCAGGCGCAGGGTTTCTATGTTGAAATTTTAACGAAAGCGTAAAACGAATTTGAATAGGGCGGTAAAGAGATGGATCATAATCTCACCAAAAATGCAATGATCGAGATAGCTGAGTGACATCAAAGCGTCAAAAGAGAATTCGGTGCAATTTTCATGCCGCTGCGCTTGCAACAATTCGGCGCGCAGTTTAGCTTGCACGCGCGGCTCTTTTGCCAACTGAAAGTGAATGTGAATTATTGGTGTTTTTGTCTTCTATTCCTCGCATTTAACTCACATAATAAAATGTGTAAATCAGCGTGCTGCAAATCTCCTCAAAACCATCGGCCAGGATAGCCATGCAATGCCCCGTCAGCGCTTCATCGCTCATACGCCCGGTGTGCCGCTGTTCATACAAATAGCTGAGGAGTGCAACCGCGCCGCTGGGATCGCGAAACTTCTTATGGCACGCGAGCGCATCGGCGCTGAATTGCACAAAGTAATTATCAACCGTCTTAGAGATCAAACGAAAAGGCCAGAGTTTCGAAACCAGTGGCATAACAGCTGACAAGAAGGAGTAGCTGGTTAGGCTGCGCGTCTGCTTGACGATACGTTGCGTCATTGCGAGAAACTTATTGTTCTTCTTCTTGGCCTGCGTCAAAGTACCCGCATCCACACCCCAAATGAAGAGACAGAGTGCATCGGCAACATAGCGTTTAACGAGCTGTTGGCAGGAATTCAAAGGAGTTAGATCAGTTAGCAAATCAATGACACAAACTCACATCGTTAGTGTCCACAACTTCCGGCTTGGCGCCACCACACGTTTGCTGTAAACATTGCACCAAATGTCTATTGCTTCCCAGCCACACTTCATAGTAGCGCTTTAGCTGTAATTTGCAATATTAAATTTATCACTTATTTTCCTTTACAAACATTTCTTTGAATTTAAATATTCGTTCACTCACGCGACAAAGTGTCAACGACGCGCATGCAACACTGCGATTTTTTTGCCACCGCTCGCCTGTGCTCCACATTGCACTGTACTTGGCTAATTTGTCCAATTTATTCCCCTTGCGTTGCCGCATCCAGTTACTCGCCGCTGTCACCTTAAAGGCACGGAAATTCACGTCGAGCACTTCGTGTGCCAAACGCATGTCCACCACGAGGATTTGAGGCTGACGCACGAAATAAATGCCCACCATGCGACTGCGATGCTTGTAGCGCCTGTGTGTGGAAGATGCAGCAAAAAGTTGGAATTGCGTTTGCAAATAAGTATTACAAATGATTAATCGTCTACCCGTAAATCGCATCGATTTCATAAATCAAATTTCTATTTCGCGTTAAAATGCTGGGAAAAGAGCCGAATATTGTCAACGGCAAGGCAGTGCGTAGTCCGCGATTTCGCCAAAAATTGAATTTCCATGAAAGATAGAAATAAGTTGGCAGCAATACGATATGCAAAAGCAGGATTAGCTGGAAGAAACAGTCGAACATTTCGATTTCCGTTTTGGCTGCTTTTTGCCTTTACTTAAATAAGTTTGTTTTTATTGCTTTTAAGATTTCCGTTTTTCAATGAAAGCTTTTCCGTGGAAAAATATCATTGGAATATTTTTTATCAAGGCGAATTAATAATTCGCCTTGTTTTTTATTTTATATTTGAAATTTGAAAAAAAGATGGCCGATTTTTTTTCTACCCTTTAAGCCGGCTTTACACGGGTCGATTTCTGTCGAATGGAAATTTGACTAACCAAAGCATTTATATATTTATGGCTGAATTCCCATTTATGTGGGTCGATTTTGGTCGAACGACAAAAATTGAATAGAAAGCCGAAATTTACAAGCGAAAATTCTGAGAAAAAATTATAAAAAATCCAGAGAAATAAACCGCGAAGAAGTTTTCGAGAAAATCCAGAAAATTCTCGAAAAAAATCTTCTATATTTATAAAAAATCTCAATCAGCCCGAAATGATTCCAAAAAAATTTGGAAAAAATTCAAAACATTCCGAAAATATACAGAAAAGTGTTGGAATGATCCCAAAAGTCCTGAAATAATCCCGAAAACTTACAAACATTTCTGAAAAATTCCGAAAGATTTCAAAAGAACTCACGAAAGTCAACTACAAAACCAGAAGGAGGTCTGAAAAAAGTCATTTAGGTTCAAATAATCCCAAAACGTCCTGAAATAATTCTAACTCCCACACGGTTCTGAAAAAAAAATCTCAATAAAATATCACTAAATATATCTAAAAGTACAAAAAAAAACAAATCAGCAAGAATCATGAAAAATTCTTACTCCGTTCAAACCGTAAAACGTGAAATAAAACGTAATAAATCCTAAGAAATCGAAAAAGCCCCGAAAAGACCTGACAATATCCCTAAAATCTCCAACCGTACCGGACAAAATTCGAAATAGATAAGTATATCGAAAAATAAAAATAAATAACCCCGAAAAGCAGAAAAAAATATATTAGAAAGCCCCGGTAATGTTTGAAAAGTTTCCGAAAGAAAATTTTCTAAAGGTAAAGGTAAGTAACCCCTCAAAGGTCACAAAATATTTAAAAAAATTCAGACAATTTGGAGTGGTGCCGCACGACGTCAAGAATTCCCACGAAGTTCCGGAAGGTCTCGAAAAACCGAATCTCGAAAAAAGCCAAACAGTTTCTAAAACAATCGAAAAAATCCATGAACACTAATAAAAATCTCAAAATAAATCCTGAAAAGCACCAAACAGTTCGTGAAATATCCCGAAAAGCAGTACGTGAAAAAAATCAAAAAAATCTCTGAACACGTAAATCCCTAAAAATACCGAACAGTTTCTGAAGTATTACGAAAAATACAGTAGCACTCTGAAAAGATGCAATGTAAATCTCGAAAAACTCCGAAAATTGTCTGCATAACTCCTAAATATCTCAATAATATAGAAAGATGTCTATAACCTTCCGAAAATATTCAGAAAAAATAGGACTAATCCGAAAATCTGAAAAGAAAATTCCAAAAGCAATCCCGAGCGGTTCCTGCGAAATTCCGAAAAGTACCGGAATGGTACAAAGCCTCGCCAATAAAATACCTAACACTTTCTGAAACCTTCCGAACCCATAGTACTCCGATAAACTACACCGAAAATTCCAGCCAGTTTCTAAAACGTCTCAAAAAATCACGGTATACTCTGAAAAGTTTCCAAGAATATTGCTTAGAAGCTTTGAGTCTCAGAAATTGCAGAAAAAAATCTCGAAAATTTCCGAAAAGTTTCTATAGTATTTAGAAAAATCTCGAATACGAATTACATCCTAAAAAATTCTGAAAGGTTTCTGCAAAATTTTGGAAAGTCGGAGAATGCTCCGAAATCCCACTTTGAAAAATTGCCAAAAAGAAAAACGAAAACTCTGAAACATCACGAAAAATCGTGGAATACTCCTACGAGCAACAAATAAATTCAGGATAATTTGAAAAGATGTCTCAAAGTTTCCGAAAAGATTCTGAAAGCGTAAAATATTCCGAAAAATGTCTCAATAATTCCGAAAAGTTACTGAATATTCCGATACTCCGACACATCTACAATTCTAAAAAATTCCGGAAAGTTTCTCAAAAATTCTGAAAAATCCCAGAATGCTCCAAAACCCCGACGCTAAGTCTCGGGCAGTCTCTAAAATATTCCGAAAAATTCGTGGAAGATGTTTCAAAGTTTTCGAACGGTTTCTGAATAATTCCGAAAACTGTATAGCTCTCCGAAAAATTGCAAGAAAATCCTAAAAAGAATAAATGGTTTCTGAAAAGTTCCGAAAAGTCGGAGAATGCTCCGAACCCCTACTCCAACGAACCGCCGATAAAAAGCCGGAAAATCTATACAAAATGTCGAATATTCGGAAAAACTTAAAAGAAATTCATTTAAAACTCCAAAAATATTTCTCAATAATTCAAACAGTTTCTGAAGCATTCCGAAAAGTCCAAAACAATTTTTGAAAATTTACGAAATATCACACAATACTCCGAAAAATTTTACAGTCTTTCCTAAAAGTTCCGTTAAGTTTCTGAAGAATTCTGAAAAGCTACGGAAAAAATAGAAAACAAAACAAAAAATATATTGAAGTCTCTGGAGAAAAAGGTAAAATACTCCGAAAAATTTCAACACAAATTCCGCAAAGTCCTGGAGAGGTGCTGGAAAGTTCTTAAGTATACATACATAGATGAAAATTTAAACATTACTTAGCATATATGTTTGTATGCATGTTCTTAGGCACCTCGAATCCTTTTTTCTCCAACATCCACAAATTATATAAAAATACTAGCTAATTTGTTGAAAACTCAATTCCGCCTGAGTATAATATCTGCATATTAATAAGAAACACACAACAACCCGCACACTAATGCATTTGTGGTCGTATTCTTAGAAAATTGTTTTCTTACTTGCGCGTCAACCGCAAAACAGCAAATTGCAAGCAGCCACAAAGCAATCTGCCAACGCATGCCAATACGCACACAACCGTATGCATACATATGTACATGCAACAAACACATACCGCATAGCAGGTTGCCACAAATTTAGCAGCTGCAACTGGTTTGCCATATGCAAATTGCATTGTTGCAACACTCGACCATGCAACAGCTCAAAACAGTGAAAGCATTTGCCACAAGAATGCGTGAGTGTGCGCATATCGCTATGTGTATGTGTGTGTGTGTGCACGTGTATGTGTGCGTATGAAAAAGGGGAGCTCAAAAGCTCAAAAATACAACAAAAAAAGAATAAAACAAATCAGGCAACTTCGGCGTGTGTGTGTGCGCGCCACAAATAAAATGCAGAAAAGCAAATCTGATGGCGAACTGAATGAAGAGCTAAAGTATACAAAAATAACAACAACAACAACAACAGCGCAAAATGCATGCCAACAAAAGCACTTCATGTGTAAACAATGAGTAACTGCCACACAAAAGAAACAATGATGAAAAAAGTAGGTGGAGGGCAGATATGAAGAATGAGAAATATTGCAACATCAGCAGCAGAGCGCTTGAACTTTTGCAAAGGATTACAACTTATCGAGTGAGAAGAAAAATTATAAGACAAAAAAAAAACAAAACGAAGAAGAAAATACTGCAAGCCAGCAAGCAAATAATAAGCAGAAGCAAAACCATGGCAACAATAACAAATTTGCAGCATACAGCAGCGGAGCGGAGCGCAGGCAATATGTAAAATTGACAAGCAAAATGGTTGCCATAAGTTTTTGCACGAAATTTACAACAACAGTAAAACCAGAGCTTTTGGAGAAATGAAAGAAATCATTTATGCATTTTGTTTTTGCTTTTGCGTATTCTTCTTATTTGTTGCTAAGTATGTATGTACGGTATGTATGTATGTCTGTAACTATATGAACTGGTATTAAACATTTTTCGCTTGAAACAATAATTCGAAAAGGCTGTTAGTTAATGAAAAAGCAACAGTGGCGGCTGCAATTGCAAAGCCGATTTGAGGATTTTTCCAGTTGAGTAAAATTATTATTGGGAATTTAGTTGAATACACTTGGAATTTATTTAACTTTTCTGTATGTTTGTATGCAAATTGTTATTTTAAATGCGGTTGGAATTATTTCTGAGTATGAAAGTACAACTGGCAAAGGTTGATTACTTAGTAAAAGAGCCAGTAATGTTTTGATTCAATGGAGCATCCAGAATATAATTTTCACTTAGTCGAATTCAAAGCAAAATGCTTGAAACAAAATAATTTTATATTTGATTTTTATTGAAGCAACTCTTGATCATTTTTAACCACGCAGAGGTGCATTTGAAAAATACAAAAAATATGGACGTTTGCTAAAAACACATCATACAAGTGGGCAAAGGCGAAGGTTGTCTTCTTATCAAAAGAAGGCAGAGCCGCTCATGTGAAACCGAACGATTTTCGGCCTTTAATCCTCACTTCATTCTTTCTTAAAACTCTGGAGAGGCTCCTTGACGAATTTGAAATGCCAACCTCTCGTCGAATCAGCATGCGTATTCCAAGGAAAACCCCCGTGGAGACTGCTCTTCACGAAATCGTATCGACGATTGAAAAAGGATAGGCCATAAAGGAATACACGCCCGAAGTTTTCTCGATATCGAATATGCTTGCGATAATATCTATCCAAAATCGGTTACTAACTTCCTGCTTATTGCGGGGGTGCAACGCGTTCTGATAGATTTCGTTGGGCTCCTTCTCGAAATGAGAACTATTCTTTCATAACTGGTGGACGGCTCCATTACAATGCATGTGACCAGAGGTACTCCCCAAGTCTGGAATCTAACCGTTAACACCGTTAAAAAAAATAAGTCAGAAAAGAACTTTCAAGATATTTGTCGGAATTGGCAGTGGTATTACGAAAGGCTTTTGTCTTTCGAAAGGTGTGGTAAGTTGAACGATAGCCCGCTGAATTGCCCTGTAAGACGCTTTGCAACGAAATGGCCAGCAAAGGTTAAAATACGTAATTTTGCCTCTGTTTTGTACTATGGGCTAAATTTTAATCAAA